CAGCAGATAGAGAGTGACACCTACGCGGTCACAGGCCGAGCCAAGACGACCAGAGAAATTGACTCTTGAGCGCCTTGTGCCTGCAGCAACCCTGCCCTCGACCTTTCATTCACAGAACAGAGTCTCGCCTTACGTACTAAGCCGCTTTGAATCATTGGACAACCACATAATCCTTGATGAAGATACGAGGGACCCCTGGGAGGTTGGCATACGAGGCTGCCTGGGACCCAGTCCTTCTCCTCAAACGGATTTCAGCTGGGGTCAAAGAGGGACAGACATGTTTGCGTCTGGCGGGAGAAGAAGCCGGCACAGGAGGAGAGCAGGTTGTCGTCACCCTGTTCTCTCCTGCTACAAAGAACGCTGTGTTCTAAGACCAGATTTTGCAAAAGATAAGAGCACTTATTTACAAGTCAGATCTCCTTTGAGCCACATGAGGCTCCGCCTGGGTGTGCTCGGCGGGGAGCAGAGGTTTGGATGTGCTAGGGACCCTGCCACTGGGAGCGAATGGCCTTGGCAGGAGGGAAAGTGCCTGGCCAGCTCGGGAGGTTCAGATCTGAAAAAGTCAGAATAGTCTGCAGGGTCCTCTTGCTCCCTGAGTCAAACAAAACTCTGAGCCTAGACTCCCAGGCCCCAGGCAGCCGGCCCCGCCCACATTCCCAACCTCAGCCCGAAGGACCTTTGGAGCCGGGTCCTTCTTTGCTACCAGCCTGTCCTGAGCATTGCAGGATGATGACCGGCATCCCTGGACTCCACTCACTGGATCTCAGTAGCACCGCCCTGTCCCTGAGCTCTGACAACCGGAAGTGCCTGCAAACATCGCCACGTGTCCCCCGGGGGTCTGCCTGGCTAGTAAGACGAGCTATATCAATGTACTGTCCTACGTGCTTTTCATGTACAACTACATTGAAACGCACTGCAGCCTGACGATGTTGGTATGAGTCCGTCCCCGTGTTGCAGATGAAGGAACTGAGGCTGGAGGAGGAACTTGTCGGCGGCAGACACGCTGCTTAAACTGCCCTCGGAGGCCAGCTGGGGGTGCGGGGGGCCGGCACCTCTCAGGGAAGGGACTTCCTCGCTTCATCGTGAGAACCCGGCCCAGAAAGGGGTAGGCCGGGCAGTGTCACTCAGCTGGCCTGGCGCCCAGGACCCCGGGATTCCAGGAACTGCTCTGCTCTCCTCCATTCTCTTTCTCTCTCAGAACCAAACAGCTCTTGAGGGTAAAGACGTCGCAGCATTTATTTCAGATCCCCCGGGGGGTGAGAAAGGGGACCTCTTTTCATCTTGGGGGGAAGTCTGCCCATTTTCCCACTGGGTGAGGGGGTGCCACCCACAGTGGCAGGCAGACTCATGGGCTCTTTAAAAACACAGCTGGGGCCGGCCAAGTGGCGCGATGGTTAAGAGCTGGCTTGGGACATCAGAGGGTCCCGGTTCGGATCCCACATATGAGGGCCAGTGACACTGCCTCTACAGCTAAGATGCTGAACAACAGCTCAACCTGGAGCTGGGCTGCTGTGAGTCACCGGCGACGGCGTAGGCTGCAGCCCCTGTGGCAGTGGGTTGCCATGGGCTACCGTGTGTAGCCAGCAGCCAGCGTGAGCAGCCAG